TTTGCTTGGGGGAGACTTCAACCTAATTAGGGAGGCTAAAGAAAAAACCTTAGGCATTATCAACAATTCTTGGGCCTTTTTGTTCAATGATTGGATTAACAAGTGGGGGTTAATGGAATATAAACTGTCAAATAGGGTTTTTACCTAGTGTAATAATCAAGATAACCCCATTTTTGCTACTATTGACAGAGTTTTCTCTGCTACTAGCTGGGATAGCCACTTCCCTCTTACCTCTTTGTGTGCCCTGCCAAGGGTTGGGAGTGACCATGCTCCCATCCTGTTAGATTCTGGGGAAGGTGTGCACAACCCAGCTAGGCCTTTTAAATTTGAGAAATGGTGGATTGGGCAACCTGATTTTCAAGCGTTAGTTGAAAAAGTTTGGGCTACTCCTTCCCCTTTTACCTCTGCCATTGAAACCTGGCAGTTTAAAACTAAGTTATTCAGGAAGCAAGTCAAGGGCTGGAGTATTAATGTTGAGGCTGCTATGAAAAAGAGGAAGAAAGAGCTCCTTCAGGAGTTTGATATTTTAGATGTTTTCTCTGAACAAAACAGACTCACTAGTGAGGATATCCTCAGGATGAAACAGATTAAGGAAGAACTCCATGAGATCTGGAAGAAAGAAGAAACTGCCATGTGGCAGAGATCTAGAGATAGGAGAATTAGAGAAGGAGACAGGAATACAGCTTATTTCCATGTTGTGGCTAACCAAAGAAGAAGGAAGAATCAGTTATCCATCTTAGAAGGCCCTGATGGCCCTGTATATTCTACCAAAGATATGCTGGATGTAGCAACTAATTTTTATAAAACCCTTTTTGGGTTTCAGCCTAAACCTAACATCCACCTGGATGATCATTTTTGGTCGGAAGAGGAGCGAGTGACTGTAGCTGAAAACGAGATATTAGAAAGGCCTTTTTCAAAAGAAGAAATTAAGGAAGCCATTATGGGCTCATACGCCAATGGGGCCCCTGGACCTGATGGTCTGTCCTTTATTTTTTACCAACATTTTTGGGAAATAATCAAAGGGGACTTTATGGCGCTTGTGAGGGAATTTGAGAGAGAGTCTCTGGATATCCAGAGGTTAAACTATTCTATAGTCACTCTCATCCCTAAAGAACCTGATGCCAAGAATATGAAAAAAAATTGACCTATTTGTCTAAGCAACTGTTCTGTGAAGATCTTTAGCAAGGCTATGACGAATAGGGTTTCCCCTATTGGACATAGGTTACTGGCCCCATGCCAGTCTGCTTTTGTAAGAGGTAGGTTTATTCTTGAGAGTGTGGTGACTGCCCATGAGGCTATCCACGAACTTCATAAATCCAAAGACCCTGGGATTGTTCTCAAATTAGATTACGAAAAAGCTTATGATCGTGTCAACTGGGATTTCTTAGTGGAGATGTTAACTTCCAGGGGTTTTGGCCCTAAGTGGATTCGGTGGAACCTATCGATCCTTAAACAAAGCCCTTTTTGTGTCAAAATTAATGATGTTCTAGGTCCTTACTTTGTGGGGGGGGGAGGGGTTGAAACAAGGTGACCCTAGCTTCCCTATGCTTTTCAATTTAGTGGCAGATGTTTTCTCCCGGATGCTGATGAAGGCAGTTAGTAATAATATAATATCTGGGATTGTTCCTCACATTATCCCACGTGGTCTTATCTGCTTACAGTATGCAGACGACATGATTTTATTCCTCAACCCTAAGACTGAATATATGAAAAACTTAAAGTGGTTGCTTGCCTGTTTTGAAAACCTATCTGGGTTGAAAATCAATTATGACAAGTGTGAAGTGGTGCCCATTAATGTGAATATTGACGAGGCTAAAATGCTATCCCAAATTTTCTGCTGTAAAATGGGGAATTTCCCTCTTAAATACTTGGGTGTTCCCCTCCACTACCTTAAACTTAGAAGAGAGGATATCCAATACATTATAGATAAGATCATCAAAAGAATTTGCGGCTGGAAAGGGAGATTACTCAGTTATGAGGCCAAACTTGTGCTGCTTAAAGCATGTATTACTAGCATTCCAATGTATTTGATGTCTGTGATTAAGTTTCCTAAGTGGGCTATAAATGCTATCACTTCTCAGATGGCTCATTTCTTCTGGGGTGACCAGGGAGATGAGCATAAATATCATCTGGCCAAATGGGGGTTAATCTCTCAGAAAAAGGAGTTTGGAGGTCTAGGGATCCCTAACTTAAGAGAGTTCAACATGGCCTTACTTGCCTCTTGGGCAAAAAGATACTTCACTAACCATGATAATGATTGGGGTAGGATAATTGACCATAAATATATAACTGATAAACCCAACTTGCTTTGGGCCAAGCAAGGTGTGGGGTCGCCCTTTTGGAAAGGGGTCACATGGGCCTTTAAGGGCATTCGACCTTTCTTTCGGTGGAACTTGGGTAAAGGGGACAGAATCAGTTTCTGGGACGACACTTGGGTTGGAGATTCTTCTCTGAAAACTCAGTTTTGGGAGATTTATGAAATTTGTCAACAACAAAAATGTGTTGTAGCTGAGGTTTGGGATGGTACTAATTTGAAACTTACGTTTAGTAGATGTGTGGATTCTAGATTTATGGACAGGTGGCATGACTTAATTCAGGTGATCTCTGCCAAGACCATAACTAATGAAGAGGACCAGCCTGTCTGGCTTTTGGAATCCTCTGGAATTTATTCTGTCAAATCCTTTTACAATATGATAAACTGGGGAGGGGTATCTACCCCAATTTGGAAAAAGTTCTGGAAAATTGTTGTTCCCAACAGATACCTAGTTTTTTTGTGGTTAGCATATCATAATAAAATTCTTACTAGAGACAATTTAAGTAAAAGGAGGGTGGTTGATAACTCGTGTTGTTTGTTTTGTAATGAGAATGAAACTGTTCATCATCTGTTCTTCGATTGCGTAGTAGCTAAGCAAATTTGGCTCGATGTAGCGGATGCTTTTAATTTTAATATCCCAAATGACATGGTTGAGTTGTCATCCTTGTGGATGTTGAATAACAAAAAATCTGTAGTTAACATTGCTCGTGTTGCCTCCATCTGGGGGATTTGGACTATGCGTAACGATATATGTTTTCAGGGGACACCGTGGAAAAGCACCCGGACGGTGTTGAGTCGGATCAGCTCATCTCTACATCAATGGAAGATTCTATGCAAAGGCGATCAATCGGTGCTCCTCCAACGCTGCCTCCTACTCCTGGATCGAGGAAGAGGCGAGCTGCTCAGGATCGCCTGGGCTGGGGACTGAGAGCGTGTTCCAAAAGACCCCCCGGGCGGGGGTGTTCTGAAGGCACATCTGGTGTGAGGCTGATGCTTTCATCCTGTCCCCGTTTCTGTGCTGATGAACTTCTGAACTTATGTGATTTTGGGCTGCCCTGCGTGGCGCGTTGATGTGCCGCTGGTTTAGTTGTAGTGTGGGAGTGGTGTGCAAGTTACCTTTCTGGTTTGCTACTACTGGTGAACTCGGATGCTTTTAACAGTCTGGGCCTTTGTTGTGCCCCGCTTTAATAAAAAGTGGGGTGGGGGAAAACCCCTTTCGATCAAAAAAAAGAACAACGGGAAAGAGAACATCTACCCTCTTGGCCTCTCTCCAAAGTCTAGGGAATGAGCAGAGCGTTGAGAAAGAAGGAGAGCTGATTGGGGAATTCACGCCATTAATGGCCGGCCATGGCACTGGAATCGAAGAGGCGCGGTAGGGGCGACCGGCGGCGCTGAATCTGCGACTGGGGAAGCAAAGGAGTTGCGGGCCAAGTGCATACAGACTGCGATTGATTCCTTGGGCCTCCACTTTTTTCGTGTATTTTTTGGGCTGCCTGCAAGAATACTACCTAGCCTGGGGCCCCTGCCTGCTCGAGGCCCACGGCGGGCGCCCCGTTTGGCCTGGTCATTGGCTGGACGGTATTTCAAATAGGTACAAAACGCTAATAATGGTTGGAGCCTATGCCTTACTATGATCGCTTTGCCTATGTAGAAATGATGTTGTTTTTAATGACAAAAATGCTTCTCCTTTGCAGATTATTTTTCGTTATACGCACTCACTTCGTACGTAGTGTATGGTACAACGAGCAGAGTACCAACCATTGTTCAAGACGGTGTGTACACTGTTGGAGCAGGTGGTTACGGAGGTTTTTTCTTAACATGGGTGACAGCATAATCTTCGGATCGGTCCACCATCTCTTTTGACATAGGCATGGTGTCGGTCTATGCACTCTAGTGATGTCGAATTGTTGGTCTTTTATCTTTTTGTTTATCAGACTATTAGTGTTTGGATGTGTGCATCCTAGTTATGTAGAGGCCGGGTGATACTCTTAATGCTTTGTATCCCTTTGATGATACATTTTGAGATAATAAAAGTGTCCTTTATCGAAAGAAAAAAATAGGGAAACACAATTTAAAATAGTGTTATATGAGGAATTTTCTCCAATATAATTGTAACAACTTTCCTGGTATATTACCATAGTAGGAACCGGTCCTGAAAAATTGATTCGTGAGGTATCCAATTGAGGAAGAGCTTGATGAGACGATAATCCATTTCACCCAATTAACTCGATTGCAATTACCACCCCTTTAATGTTAATCCACTGGAAGGCCAGCTATATGTGCGAGGTGAGATACATGTGTGGTATGGCGTATGAGTTGTTAGTATTTTAGGTAAAAGAACAGCTGAACATCTCATACTGTTCATCAGTAAAATAATCCTTTCATAAATTCGTCGAAATTTCGTTGAAATATTAAAGCTACTCAGATCTTCTCGTGCGGGTGACAACTCATGAGCAATCGGACAGAGAGGTGAGTAAAAAGAAATTAAAAATGCATTGCCCTGGATGAGTTGGCATATAAGTATACTCCTAGGGAATCTATTTATGTACAGGGCTGCAGGCCAATTAAGCACACGCGCGAGCACAACTATATAAACACGAGCAGCCGAGCCGTAGAGAGACAACAGGCGGCGGCATCATACTACCTCCTCTACAAAGAAACACTCTGTGAGCGAGGTATTAGATCGATGTCGATGGCGCCGAAGCGGAAGCTTAGCATGGGGCGGCAGAAGATCGAGATCCGGCGGATCGAGAGCGAGGAGGCGCGCCAGGTGTGCTTCTCCAAGCGCCGGGCGGGGCTGTTCAAGAAGGTGAGCGAGCTGGCCGTGCTCTGCGGCGCCGAGGTGGCCGCCGTCGTCTTCTCCCCGGCCGGCAAGGCCTTCTCCTTCGGCCACCCCTCCGTCGAGGCCATCCTCGACCGCTTCATCCCCTCCGCGGCGCAGCTCGGTGCGGCGGGGGCCGGCGCGGGCCTGGGCGCCGCCGGCGACCGCAACCTGGCGGAGCTGAACCGACAGTACGGCCAGCTGCGCGAGCAGCTGGAGGCGGAGAAGGCGCGGAAGGAGCGCGCGGACGAGGCCATGGCGAAGGAGCGCGCCAAGGGGAGCCAGGCGGCGGCGTGGCTCGACGCCGACCTGCGCGACCTGGGGGAGGAGGAGCTGATGGCCTTCGCCGCCGCGCTGGCGGACGTGCAGGCCGCCGTCTCTGCGCGCGCCAACCAGGTGCTCCAGGAGGCGCTGGACGTCGGCCGCGCCAGGAGCGCCAGCCGCATGCTCCTCGCGCCCCCGCCGCAGCAGCAGCAGCTCGTGGGCGGCGGTGGCTTTGAGTTCGCTAGCTGCAGCGCGAACTCCAGGAATGAGATGGAGATGCAGCAGATGTTGATGGCCATGCCGCCACCGCCGGAGTTCGCGGCCACCGGAATGGAGATGATACAACAGGGGCTCGGGCCAAACTCCGGCTTCCCCTTCTGAGAGAAGAAGAAGATGAGACCCACACCGAGTACGATCTCGAGTTCATCATGCCTGCATGCATCGATCGACTTCGTCACCACTCGGTCAGAAAGAGATTGATGGATCAAGTCTTTTGATCCAGGAGCGACTAGCCCGACAGCCGATTTTACAAATTTGTTTATGCACATATATAATAAATATATAAATAAATAAAATGTCCACTCGGGGTCATAAAAAGATGTCCATTTACCCTAAAAAATGTAGTCTGTTTTGAAAGCTCATAAATAAATAATATTTTTGAGGGAGTATGTATTGTTTCATTATTTTAGAAAAAAAATTACCCGGGCTTCTGCATCAATGTGTTGTTTCACGTAGATAGGTGAACAAAATACGAAGTGACCCCTTTATAATAGAAAACCAGGGCGAAAATTGAACAACTGAGACACTATCCCGATGGCAACCTAATCAAACCACTAACACCTACCATATCATGACCTCCACTCCAGGAGTTCTTGAGCAAGAGCATCAGGAACGCCTTTAGAAGTAAATAAATATCATATTTAACAAATTGGCAAACCCATTTAGTTGATTGCTTGTGCAATAGATTCTAAATTAATGAAAATAAAAGCCTTTTTTGGTTCTCTCCGATTGACAACGATGCAAAGATGCATGCAAGAATGTTTTGTGTAAGTTAGTACTCATTCAAAGCAAGTTAAGCTGGTCGATTTGTAAGATCCCGAGTCTTTAATTTGCTGGGAGATTCATAAGAAACATGTTCACCGTTGGATTTTTATTTCCAACCCGAATTCTGAATAGTCTACAGAAAATTGAACACAGGTTCATAGTAGACGCTGTTGTCCAAAAATGTTGCTTGGCTTGCTTTTTCGATTTGCTTGGCTTGCTTTCTTGTCATACTATTTTATAGCCCAATCAAATCCCAACTGCCATAGCAGGGTCACATTCACTCCTCCCGATTTTTTTGGATTTGAACTCCTCCAAATTTATTGAAGGACACAATTGCACATAAACAATTTCGTAAAACTTTGAAAATCATATGTGAGGTTTGTGGGTTGGACCATAGACATAGATTTTTGGGGTTTCAAGATATGGCATGTTGTGGTTTGTACAAAATAAACAATATGTGATATTAGTTTTTTTTCACGGGTCACAAATTTTCATATTTCTAAACCAAAAGGTTGTACATACATAGTTTACATCGTAAGTTATATATATATATATATATATATATATATATATATATATATATATATATATATATATATTCATTTTTAATTGTCTGGTATTATTTTGTCCTTCAAGAGAGGCTAAGATGCTCCACATATTGTTGTTCTATCATGAAAAGTAATTTTTTTTAAGGTAAGTGTGCCCAAATTAAATGTAAAGGACAACAGAGCCAATCAAATAGTTTCAGGAGGAAAAACAAACCTTCATTTAAAAAAAATTGATGCCTCATTTGCACCAATGCCAATTTAATCTCATTTGATCGATATCTGATTTAAGTAATCAAACTGGATCGAGTCAGTTACTGAGCAAAATTAGCCATCAAAGCTTCAGACCTAATGGCCGATGATAAATGACAACGTGTTGAGGGAATTTGCTGCCAGCTAGTACTAATTCACGTGCATTAAAATGCATATTTTTTTATTTTATTTTTTTAGAAGAAGAGGGCGGCGCCCCTGTTCCATTTCATTGCATAAACGAAACGAAACAAACGATCCAGTATAGGCATTACAGGGGAAGTTCACGGCGGACAGCAGGCATACTGCCGCAGTAGCAGAAAATAGAACTAGAAAACTGCAGATGGGCAGGAACTACGGTGTCAAACACCGACAGCAAAAGGAGAAATTCTTGCTTGCAAAAGCTGCTAGGATGAACTACTATTAAAAACTGCAGGCTCTGCAAAGGAAGGACATTTCAGAAGGTGTCTCCACACCTCAGCCAGGATCTGGCCACAGCAATAGGGGTGGACTTCTCGCTTTCATCTCCAGTTCTTTCGCAGCCCACGCCAGCTTGTCCCTGGTAAACCCGGAGGAAAGGCACTCCCAAGAAGATAGATTTAACGCAATTTTCCGCCAGATAGCCTGCAAACCAGGCCAACAGACGTTACTGAAAACCATGTCATTGCGAGCTTTCCAGATTGCACATGCTACGTCTTGAGCTAGCGTTGGTTTTCCCAAAAGAGGAGAGGGTGATGCAGCAAGTGTAGCATAAGTATTTTCCTCAGTTTTTGAGAACCAAGGGATCAATCCAGTAGGAGGCTTCTCAAAAGTCCCACGCGCCTACACAAACAAACTGAGAACTCGCAACCAACGCAATAAAGGGGTTGTCAATCCCTTCACGGCCACTTGCGAAAGTGAGATCTGATAGAGATAGTATGATAAGATAATATATTTTTGATATTTTATAATATAGATGCAAGAAAGTAAAGATGCAAATAAAAGTAGATTGAAAACAAATATGATAAGAGATAGACCCGGGGGCCATAGGTTTCACTAGAGACTTCTCTCGAGAGCATAAGTATTACGGTGGATGAATAAATTACTGTCGAGCAATTGATAGAAAAGCGAATAATTATGACGTTATCTAGGCATGATCATGTATATAGGCATCACGTCCATAACAAGTAGACTGACTCCTGCCTGCATCTACTACTATTACTCCACACATCGACCGCTACCCAGCATGCATCTAGAGTATTAAGTTCATAAGAACAGAGTAACACATTAAGCAAGATGACATGATATAGAGGGATAAACTCATGCAATATGATATAAACCCCATCTTGTTATCCTCGATGGCAACAATACAATACGTGTCTTGTAACCCTTTCTGTCACTGGGTAAGAACACCGCAAGATTGAACCCAAAGCTAAGCACTTTTCCCATGGCAAGAAAGATCAATTTAGTAGGCCAAACCAAACCGATAATTCGAAAAGACTTGCAAAGATAACTCAATCATACATAAAAGAATTCAGAGAAGATTCAATCAATATCCATAGATAAATCTGATCATAAACCCACAATTCATCGGATCTCGACAAACACACCGCAAAAAGAGATTACATCGAATAGATCTCCACGAGAGAGGGGGAGAACATTGTATTGAGATCCAAAAAGAGAGAAGAAGCCATCTAGCTAATAACTATGGACCCGTAGGTCTGTGGTAAACTACTCACAACTCATAGGAGGGGCAAGGATGTTGATGTAGAGGCCCTCCGTGGTCGATTCCCCCTCCGGCAAAGTGTCGGCGAAGGCTCCAAGATGGGATCTCGCGGATACAGAAGGTTACGGTGGTGGATATCGTGTTTCGTGGTGCCCCTGGATGTTTTCGGGGTCCGTAGGTATATATAGGAGGAAGAAGTACGTCGGTGGACGCCCGAGGGGCCCACGAGACAGGGGGGCGCGCCCTACAGGGGGGCGCCCTCCTATCTCGTGGAGGCTCCGACTGTTTCTTGACTTGCACTCCAAGCTCTCCAGATCTTGTTCGTTCCAAAAATCACGTTCCCGAAGGTTTCATTCCGTTTGGACTCCGTTTGATATTCCTGTTCTTCAAAATACTAAAATAGGCAAAAAAGACAGCAATATGGGTTGGGCCTCCGATTAGTAGGTTAGTCCCAAAAATGATAATAATGTATAAAATAAAGCTCATAAACATCCAAAACAGGTAATATAATAGCATGGAACAATCAAAAATTATAGATACATTGGAGACGTATCAGCCCACAGCCCAGCTGCATGAACAATATTAGTCGCAGCAAAGCTATCTCCTCTGATCCAGCAGGAGGAGATGGACATTATATTGATGTCATCATTAACTCTAGTAAGGACAAAGATGGCTTTCCAGAATTCAACAGCAACAACACAAGTACTAAATAGATGGGAACAAGATTCTTGTTCGTTGCAAAAAACACAAGTAAGGTCATCTACATTCTGCCTTTTGCACAGGTTATCTCTGGTTAGCAGCTTGTTATTAGTTAAAAGCCAAAGAAAAATCTGAATTCTAGGGGGGATCTTGATCTTCCAAATGGCAGGGGAGCTGATTGGTAGCACCCCCCTAAAATTAACAAATTTATAAAAGGATTTAACAGAGTAAACCCCTTTGGAATTCATATTCCAAACTAGGGAGTCATCTTCATCTGTAAGATGGATAGAGCTAGCAATTTACAAAAGTTCGAACCATAAAGACAACTATTCCTATGTGAAACATCTCCGAAAGGTAAGCTTAAGGGTATGGCCGTCCCATATTTTATCAATGGTGGGATTTTGCTCATTGGCTAGTACATAAAGGTCCCAGTACTGGGTAGCCAAAGTGGCATTGCCGAACCAATGATCTTCCCAGAACCTAACCCTCTTGCCATTACCAATCTTCCAAGAGAAACCAACTTTAACAGCTTGAGCTGCCCAGAGCACCCCTTTCCAGAAAGGGGATGCTCCAGAATTAGAACAAGCAAATATATTACTCTGCGGATTATATTTGGAATCAGTGATGTTTTTCCAGATCTTACCCTCAGAGTTATAGTACCTACTAATCCAAGAAGCTAATAAAGCCAGATTCATGTCCCCAATGTCAGTAATCCCAAAGCCCCCAAACTCCTTTCTCATGGTAATGGAGTTCCAGGCAGTCAGGTGGTATTTGTGGTGGCCCTCATAATCATCCCAAAAGCAATGGGCTAGTTGGGAATTAATAAGTTTGATGGCCCACTTGGGAAACTTGATGAAACCCATTAGATAAGTAGGAATACTAGCTAAACAGGCTTGGACTAAGATAAGTCTTTTCCCAAAGGAAAGAAGTCTACCTCTCCACCCAGCAGCTCTCTTAATGATCTTATCTACAGTAGGTTGGAGATCTTTCCTCCTAATCTTGCTAAAGTGAAGAGGGCCCCCCAAGTACTTAATAGGGAAAGCAGTTAGTTTGCAACCTAAGGTTTGGGCAAACACTAGTGCCTCATCACTATCTATATTGATGGGGACAAGGTCACACTTGTGGAAATTAATTCGCAT